GGCGCATCATGGCAACCTATAAGCATAGCTCGAGGATGAAAGACGAGCACGTAACGGATACAGGGCCATCTAATCCCTTTCTTACGAAGGACGAGAATATTGTTTTATCGTGTGTCACTTTCATCGATTCGGATTATTAATTATATAATTACATATTATATTAATCGCGCATATCGCGTATCACATAAACTACATATATATAATTTAAAAATTTCTGATAGTTAATAGAATCTTGACGAATAATTCATGTTGTAAACCTATTAAATTTTAATAAAAATTGTGTATGTATATTACGTGTATAATACGTGTATGTGTATTCAAATTTTTCAAAGAATAATCTTTAATAATTTAATAAGCAGCACATTATTTTACTTTGTGTTAACTTTCAAGTAGCAAGGTAAACTGGTTTAATGCGACAGCGTGCGAGAAGTTTCGCCATAAAACAGTAATCTTAATCAGTACATTCGACAATCGAGGAGAATGAATTGGTACTAATTATCAATTTAATTCTCCTCAAAAAGATCGTCGTCAACGTTTCTTCTGATATTAGATCATGCTCAACCTTGTGTACAATGCTGGAGGTCTTCCTAATCATGTATCATGTAAAATTCTCATATGATATAAGACAAATCTAATAATAATCTTTTCCAATAATTTTAAGTTATTTTGATAAAAACTTGTGACACTCTTTTAAAAAATAATACTATTATTAAAATAAATAACGATGCTATTTAATCCATCGATAAAGTTTGTTGCGAAAAAAAAACAACTTTACGAGAAATAATTTTAATGTAAAAACACAAATTTAAAATTATTAAAATTTTTAACTTCATTATTAATTTTAATGTACTTTAAATAATTTTTATATTTAATAGATTTAAAGAATGATTTTACGAATTATTGTAAATTACAACTTCTTTTCTCGCGGAGAATTGCAGACCGCATGTAAAGAATTAATTTTTATTCCAATTACTTAGTTTTATGACAGTTGAGCGATATTATAAAGTCATCGAACTCACCGAACCCTTCCTCCGCGTTATCGATTCAATTACCCCGTTGCAGCCAGATAAGAATGGTCCAGAAAAATCACTTCGGTTGATCCCTTATCGTAGCGTGTAACTTACTCTCTTATTAGTCTTTCTTTTCCTCTTCGTTAATTTCCAAATGATTAAGAAAAACTTCTTGTAGACAGCATAATAAAGATCTCGATTGAGCATCTTTTCCTGAAAAAAAAAACACATGAAATAATTTGTAGTAAGCAGAATCATGATTTTTGAAATCTCTTGTTATATTCTTATTCTAAGGTTTGAAATAGATTAATCTAAAAATAAGTCTGAAAAAGACACGAAACGAAAAAAAATCACGTTTTTACATAAAATGTTATTCAGATTAATTTAATCTTAACAAATCTTTTTATATCACACAAATATTTAATCTTTGCTATAAATATGAATAAAATATAATATTGTTTAATTACACTATGCTATGTTTAACGCGCTGTTTTTATTACTTAAAAGATGAAAAGGTATTGTTTTCTGGTTTAAATTAGTGTATTTACATGTTTTATTTAGTTTAGAGTATTAATGATTTAATTCTTGAAGCAGAATCTTTTCTGCCAGTTAAAAATGATGCGGCATGCGACCGTATTATTCACTAAATACGTGAGTATTAGTAATAAAGTTCATATCATATCTCAGAGTGCTTAGAGAATGACCTTAAGCTTGCATAACATCCACGGAGAAATTCTCTTCATACGTTCGTTTCTTCATCGGCCCTGATGTTCTAATCTCGAATCGGTACGCGATAACTCTTACTTAATAAATAATTTATCATTCTCTACAACGTTGTGATCTAGACGTTTGTGATCTAATATGCTGTTTTTAAATACGTTGCAACATCAACAAAGGCATTAAATCAAAATGAAGATTTATAATAGAAATAACATTATATGTGTATGTGTATGTATATATGTATGTGAATGTATGTGCACGAGGGTATTAAAAAGATTTTTTAACTAGACACATTGAGAAAATTAATATATCAACAAAAACAACTTTTTAAATTATAAAATTGAAATTAAAAGATTATATGCTTAAAAATATCACAAACAAGGGAATTTGACATAAAAACTCACCTTCTCTTTTTTATTTAAATTGAGATATAAATTTATAAAATTCTTTTTAAAGTAAAAAAGACGTATAAAATGTTAAAATAATTTTATAATATATTATATCCTGTAAAAACAATTTAAAAAT